CAAATTAGTTATGGCTGACTGTGTAACACGAAAGTGGGTAACGTGGTGTTATGTAAAATGTCATCTTAGAATAAAAGGTCACGTACACACTCTCACACACACTCTCTCTCTCTCTCTCTCACACACACACACACACACACACACACACACCTACCGTTAAGCACTAATTTTTACCTAACACCTTTTCATAACACGTTGCTAGTGTCTCTCTCTCTCTCTCTCGACCCGTGAAGATCCGGGTTAAAATTGGTCTTCTTGCTTGTCGTAAGAGGACGTTGATCACTGGATTGTCTGGTCCAGAATCGATAAGTTACAGACCGCCGCCATATAGCTGGAAATGAACAAACAAGTCGATCTCAACTCGTTTAACAAACAACGCTGGATACTAATATAAGACATGTCAGTGAGAATTCAAAGTAAATTTACAACGTTATTAATGATATATTTCTCAATATGAATACAAATATTCAGATTTTGCGTCAGTTTCCTTCATGCCCATTTATTGTAAAGAATACATCCAAAGACGAAGATGGAGAGAGAGGGAGATTAAGATTGGGAGAGAGAGAGAGAGAGAGAGAGAGAGAGAGAGAGAGAGAGAGAGAGAGAGAGAGAGAGAGAGAGAGAGAGAGAGAGAGAGAGAGATGCCCGTGAAAAAGGTATGTAAGCCCTGCTCTATTGGTCACATCTGCAATGCTTCTTTTAGCATGGTACTCTTTGAGACTAGGTATTACCAATACATCTCCAACAAAGAGATTCATCCGGATATTTTTGTCATACAACAACAAAGACTAGCTTCAGGTTACCAAATAAAGATGTGCATAAGTTAAATAAAAATAATCCTGCAAAGGAATCCTCGATTTTTAAGAATCCCGTAAATCTCTGAAGCAGAAAAAGATATGAAAATTGGCTGCCTTATTTTATTTGATTTATCTTGTGATCATGTATCGGAACGAACGTAAATCTCTTACATTAACGGTCATGGGTATTCAATAAGGTCACCTGGAAGGTCATGGCGGAAATGAAAAAAAGGGTTCACAGGCTAACACCTGCGTGGAGAAACCAATAATATGATATTCATATGTATGGTACAATATCACATCACCATCGTCTCATAAGAGTCTTAGCGAAGCCGTTCAATTGTAAATTAGAAAGTGGCTGGCCGGATAGAGAGCTACAGGTGATAATTAATGAAAATACTGACGTGTATCCCAATACAAATTCGGTCAGGAAATCAGATATGTTTTAGTTTCATATAAATGTTTATTGTCAAATTGTATTATCTGAACTGAAAATGATTGTCTAATGGCGTCTTCTGGAGGGACAATAGGATCCTTACAATGCAGCAGGGAAACCGTATACCTGCGTTCCAAGGCCGGTATTTGCTTCCGGATGGGGCGTATAATGACGGTCTTTGCTTTCTGGTTCTGACAATCGTTGTCCTGGCTATCACCACTGACCACTAATTGTCTCAACCGGTGTCGACAGGTGCTACCAGATGACCGCTTTTTACCTGGACAGGTGAAGCGTTTGTAACGACAGGTGTGAATTCCAAACTCTAGCCACGTCTCATGTCAAACATAAGTCCAGTAAGACGCTGATTTAAAGGTCAACCACCGCCCTAAGACTCGCCTGAAAGGTCACTTCACTGACCTGTTCACAACAGAGAAAGTCATTAACATCCTCATCTTTCTAAAGGGGAGAGAGGATACAGTTAACAGAAAAAAAACCCATAAATTTCTATATTTATCTGTTCTTGGACATTGGAGGGCATTGGAAGTTTTTCAGGTTCAAATTAGTGAGGATTTATCGACCTGTCGTATGTAGCCGATGTGAATGGCCACTAACCTATCGCTGTGGGTCAAGAGGTCAGATGGACAGTGGTCATTATAGTGGTGTTGACTGTTGGCGTTATGCGGGGAAAGAGCCTTCAATATTGAGACATCGTATTTGCTTAACTGGTTGCGTTTTCAAAGGTCACAACGCTGGTCAAAGGTGAATTGAACTGACCTGGCGTTTTCACGAAAACGTGTGTGAAATGTGATGTGAGTGAGTGAGTGTGTGAAATTGTTTTAAGTTCTTAAGATTATAATACCTTCCAGAAGCGTGTTTTAGTAATGAAATACTGTATTTTATTCTGGACATATAGCAATATTTCACTCGAATGACTCCTCCTGTTGCTAGAAATAATGCTAAAAGCGGCGGAAAAAGCATACTCACTCACTCAAATGAAGTCCATCTTTAGATAAAACATTCCTATATCCGGTTTCAGCAATGAAATTCTGCAATCATTTACCAATGTGTAAATCGAGTCAAAGGTTGGCTTGTTGTTTAACGCCGCACTCAGCAATATTCCAGCTATATGGCGGCGGTCTGTAAATAATCGAGTCTGGACCAGACAATCCAGTGATCAACAACTTGAGCATCGATCTACGCAATTGGGATACGATGACATGTGTCAACCAAGCCTGACTACCCGATCCCGTTAGTCACCTCATACGACAAGCATGGGTTACTGAAGATCAATTCTAACCCGGATCTTCACGGGTCTCGAGCCAAAGGACACTTTATCCCAGAACTACTTCCAAGCGGTATTTGTTTTTCCTTTTAAAAGCACATGTTTTTCTCGTGATCTGGGAGGTCAGTTTGGAATAAAAAAAATATCGATTGTGTGGGGTCAGTCGATACGGCAAAGGTGATGTTTGGCAAGACAATACATCTACATCTTTTTAAGGAAAATAATCTCCACCCAACTGCCTTTATTTAAACAATACAATTAATATTATATTTATAAAATGAAATTATATACTTATCGCTTATCAGTTTCACTAGAATGCCATCAGTGTTTGACGTTTAAAGTTGTATGATGACATTTAAAAAATCATGCATATTCATATGGTATGTTGAGAAGGTAAGTGTAAAATGCGTGCACTAAAAAAGGCACGTTTATAAATATCCTTAAGAAAGTTTGTGTTGAATTATTGTGAAAAAATCATATAAGATTATATCAGTTTGTGTCATTTACATTGGCTCAACTGAAATATGTGATAGCATAATTACGCAGATCCCCTGAAATTGAAATCTTAAGTTACATTACATGTATAGATTGTAACATATGTCTGGCCAACAGAGGGTCCCTAAGCATAGCATTATTAATATTACTAGTTGTAGGTTTCCATGTATATTCTAAGGGGGGATGACAATCATCGGACTTCCTGTAGAAGGCCATGCCATGTGCTCACAGCACTATAGCCACTGGTCACGTGACAGTTACTAATGAAGATTTCTAACACGACTGACTGACTGAGTTTGGTTTTACGCCGCTTTTAGCAATATTCCAGCAACATCACGGCGGGGGACACCAGAAATGGGCTTCACAAAGTACCCATGTGGGGATTCGAACCAGGGTCTTCGGCGTGACAAGCCAACGCTTTAACCACTAGGCTACCCCACCGCCCCTTTCTAACACGAAGCTCAACCATGTAACTTTTGTACATACATTACTACTGTTTCGAAGTTGGATACGACGAAAGCCCACATTTGAAGACATTCAAAATTCCTTGCGAACTATTTGTGACAGGGAAATGAGAGAACTGTTACGGTCCATTTAAACATGAATCACCCCTGCAACAGCTAGTAAACAAGTACGATGTGACTGTTTACTTTTGCGTAAAAATAAATTAATCCAATAAAAACTAAGGTAAGAAATACATTTAGAACCACACGACCTCTATTAATGTCTAACATATTATACATTTGTGCCGAAAAATTCAAATGTATTGATTTTAAAATTTTGGATGTCGAATATGTGGAGTTTGTTTTTGTTTTTAAAGTTTTTAACAATGGCTGACACAGCGCCATCACAGTTCACCCTTATATAGTATCGCTTACCTAAAACATTTTAAACTGAAAATCAAACGTGATAATATCAGGGGGGTATAGTTTCTTTTTACCCTCAGTTTATTAATAAAGACAAACATCTGAAAGCCTTCATTATAGTTTTAGCACAGTGCTATTTAATCAAAGTTTGTAGTAATTTTGTGCATACTCCTTGAATGTTTCTATTTTATTCAGTGTTGATAAGCCAAATAATATTTTTCTGGTTTCAAATAATTTTAAAACCAGCATCAATTTACAGTCTCTCTCGCTCAGGTTGTTGAAGAGTGAACATTCCACGAAAAAGTGAGTGAGTGAGTATGGTTTTTACGCCGCCTTTAGCAATGTTCCAGCAATATCACTGGGGACACCAGAAATGGGCTTCACACCTTGTACCCATGTGGGGAATCGAACCCGGGCCTTCGGTGTGACGAGCGAACGCTTTAACCACGAGGCTACCCCACCGCCCATCCACGAAAAAGTACCCTTACCGCCAACATGTTCCTTGCCACATACTGTGCACTGTCTTTCATTTAAGGTGTAAATGACTTGGTGTTTCTACGGCTTTAGTAATGAGAGGCTGGATTCATTATCGAAGTCATGCTAATAATCTTCTATGTTTTATTGTATTGGGTATTCTCACATATTCTGAAGTAAGTGAGTGAGTGAGTTTTAGTTTTACGCCGCACTCAGCAATATTCAAGCTATATGGTGGCGGTCTGTAAATAACTGATTCTGGACCAGACAATCCAGTGATCAACAGCATGAGCATCGATCTATGCAATTTGGATACGATGACATGTGTCAACCAAGTCAGCGAGCCTGACCACACGATCCCGTTAGTCGCCTCTTACGACAAGCATGGGTTACTGAAGATCAATTCTAACCCGCAGCTTCACGGGTCCATATGCTGAAGTAGACAATTCGCTTTCCAAATAGGTAATGTGCTAATTTATTACCATGTGATTGTCGTTGACAGCTTCAGCATGTCACTTCCCTCCAGCCAATGTATCACAGCTGAACAGTGCTGAGGAAATGTGACCTGACCTTGACCTCAAGGTAGCAGACAATATTGTGCTTTAGCTTTGTAAAACTAAGGTCAAACACTCGCATACACATTCGTGTAGGCTCTCACAACACAACACCAGCAACAAAGCTACACTACAAACACCGCAACACCACCACTAACAATAACGCAACACCACCAACAACGCGATTCAACAAACAACAACTCAACACCACAAACAAAAACGCAACACTACGAGTGACGCCACGCCACAAACAACTCCGCACCATCAACAACAACGCCACACGGCCAACAACAACGCAGCACCACCAACACCAACGCAGCACCGCCAACAACAACGCCACACCTCCAACAACAACGCATCACTACAAACAACAACGCATCACTACCAACAACAACGCAGCACCGCCAACAACAACGCGACACCACCAACAACAACGCAGCACCGCCAACAACAACGCGAAACCTCCAACAACAACAACGCAGCACTACCAACAACAACAACGCAGCACCACCAACAAGAACGCAGCACCACCAACAAGAACGCAGCACCACCAACATCAACGCCACACCACCAACAATAGCGCCACACCTCCAACAACAACGCCACACCACCAACATCAACGCCACACCACCAACAATAGCGCCACACCTCCAACAACAACGCAACACCACCAACAATAGCGCCACACCAACAACAACAACGCAGCACCAACAACAACAACGCAGCACCACCAACAATAACGCCACACCTCCAACAACAACGCCACACCACCAACAACAACGCCAAACCTCCAACAACAACGCCACACCTCCAACAACAACGCGAAACCACACCAACAACAATAACGCCACACCTCCAACAACAACGCCACACCACCAACAATAGCGCCACCTCTCCAACAACAACGCGAAACCTCCAACAACGCAGCACCACCAACAACAACGCAGCACCACCAACAACAACGCATCACCACCAACAATAACGCCACACCTCCAACAACAACGCCACACCTCCAACAACAACGCCACACCTCCAACAACAACGCCACACCTCCAACAACAACGCCACACCTCCAACAACAACGCCACACCACCAACAACAACGCCACACCAACAATCCAACACCAACAACGCCACACCACCAACAATAACGCCACACCTCCAACAACAACGCCACACCTCCAACAACAACGCCACTACCAACAACAAAAGCGCACACCAACAACAACAACGCAGCACCAACAACAACAACGCAAAGGTGCACCTGACCTGGCGTTTTTCACAAAGCGATGTGTGAAATGTGATGTGAGTTGGTGAGTGTGTGAAATTGTTTTAAGTTCTTAAGAACAACGCCACACCTCCAACAACTGTATTTTATTCGCCATAGCAATATTTCACTCGACTCCTCCAATGTTGCTGGAAATAGTGCTAAAAGCGGCGGAAAAACGCCACTCACTCAACAAGTCCAACAATATCGCAGCAATGAAATTCTGAAATCAACAAAATCGCAAAGGTTGGCTTGTTGTTTGACGCTGCCAGCAATAACGCCACATGGCGGCTCTGTAACAACGAGTCGCCACACCTCCAACAACAACGCAGCACGACCTACAAGGGATACAACAACGCCACACCACCCTGTTACACCTCTTACGACAAGCATAAGCACCTGAAACAACAACCCGCCACTACTTCCAAGCGGTATTTGTTTTCCTTTTAAAAGCGCATGTTTTTTCTCGTGATCTGGGAGGCCAGTTTGGAACGCCACACCGGCAAAGGTGTTGTTTGGCAAAGACAATACATCTACATCTTTTAAGGAAAATAATCAATCGCCAACTGCCTTTATTTAAACAATACAATTAATATTATATTTATAAAATGAAATTATATACTTACCGCTTATCAGTTTCACTAGAATGCCATCAGTGTTTAACGTTGAAAGTTGTATGACATTTAAAAAGCCGCCAGATCCCTGAAATTGAAATCTTAAGTTACATTACATGTATAGATTGTAAGATAAAACGCAGCACCACCAACAAAACGCAGCACCACCATTACAATAACGCAGCACTTACCTAAGGGGATGGCTCTCGTCGCCACACCATCCAACTCCACAGCACTAGCCAGTGTTCACCTGACAATTAATGCAGCACCAACAACAACAACGCCACAGCAATATTCAGCAACAACGCATCACCACCAACAACACATTGTACCCATCAAACCACACCTCCAACAAGCGAACACCTCCAACAACAACGCTACACCTCCAACAACAACGCCACACCTCCAACAACAACGCAGCACCACCAACAACAACGCTTTCATTTAAGGTGTAAAACAACGGCTTTAGTAATGAGAGGATGGATATCCATCAACAATCTTCTATGTTTTATTGCTTGGGTATTCACACATCCTGAAGCAACAACGCGCACACCAGCAATATACTGCTATATTGCGGCGGTCTGCTCATAACTTATTCTGGATCAGACAACAATCAACAGCATGCACCTCCAACAAACAACGCCACCTCCCCGTTAGTCGTCAACAAATGGTTACTGAACAATTCAACCCGCATCTTCACCAACAACAACGCTTTCCAGCACCACCAACAACAACGCCAGGAAATGTGACCTGACCTTGACCTCAACAACAACGCCTACACACTCGCAACAACGCACACCTCACAACCAACACCAACAACAACGCCACACCTCAAACAACGCAGCACCACCAACAACAACAACGCAGCACCACCAACAACAACGCAGCACCACAACAACAACGCAGCACCTCCAACAACAACGCAGCATCGCAACAACAACAACGCCACACCAAACAACAACGCAGCACCAACAACAACAACAACAGCACCACCAACAACAACGCAGCACCACCAACAACAACGCCACACCTCCAACAACAACGCAGCACCTCCAACAACAACGCCACACCTCCAACAACAACGCCACACCTCCAACAACAACGCAGCACCAACAACAACAACGCAGCACCACCAACAACAACGCCACACCTCCAACAACAACGCCACACCACCAACAACAACGCAGCACCACCAACAACAACGCCACACCACCAACAACAATGCCACACCACCAACAACAACGCAGCACCAACAACAATGCCTCTCCCAAAACAACGACATAGCACCATAAACAACCACAACACGCCATCAACAATTATTCCACGACATGGTATATATCAAACTTCTGACAGTTACAAACAATCGTATTTCAGTGTCTTTCTTTATTTCAGTTTGAAAAATACATGTTATTTTAGAGAAATTCGTTAATTAATAATATATCATATTTATAGATAACTTGAATTCATAAATTCATGGAAAATGGAATCCATTTCAAAATCAAACATGTTCTCTGAAATGGCAAATAAAAAGCACGTTTTCTTGCGTCTTGTGGTCTGTGGGAGAAAATAGGAACTCAAATTCATACTTGACAAAACCTGACAAAGTTCTATGTGCCCTTTACGAAACAGTAATTATATACACCAACCGCCAGACAATGCATCTCTCATTATACGCGCGAAACGATTAGTGTAAAGATTACTGACAGACAGAGGATCAGTTACTGTGTGGTCACCTGAATGTCATGGCTTTTAGAAGTACATAGTAACATTTGAACATATCAAAGCTAGACAAGAGAGTAAAGTCGTTTCCTAATTGTGTATTTGTTTAATAATCTGGTTTCAGGACACCTGCTAAGCACTTCTACAGAAAATGCATAATGCCTTTTAAGAAGTGGTCAAATGTAACAATACGTTTTATTTGGATAACTCTACTGGGATCTGTACGTAACTGTCAGACTCGTAAAGATCCGGGTCTTCAGCAAGTCATGCTTATCGTAAGAGGCGACTAACGGGACCGGGTGGTCAGGTGACACAAGGTTGACGAATGTCGTAATATACCAGTTGCGTAGAACGATGAGCATGGTGTTAATCACTGCATCGTCTGGTCCAGACTCGATTATTTGCAACATTAAACAACAAACTAAACTTAACTGTGAACGAGTAATCCTGAATATGACAATTTTCCTTTTACAGAGAAAGTATCAAACTCTGTCTTACGTGCGATAACGCGACATTCGTAGTCCCCTTTTAAAAATTAAGGGAAACCCGGAGAAAATGCTGGTTTGGGTTGTTACCCATAATGCAACTGTTTATTGTAGATGGCGCCTGCACGCAGCCGTCACCGAGTTATTTTTAGAGTTACCTGCCCTTGCCATGAGCTATGTTCCGAGAAAGATGCGGATCCGCCGTCAAGAAACAGCTCTTGGAGGCGTTAAACATTTGCGTTGGTTTTCGAAATGTTAATGGGCAAATGGGATTTAAAAAGAAATGTGCTGAAATCAATAATAGAAACACCCACACCTTGATCGCGGTAAAAGGGAATATTGTGACCAGCAATATCCTTGCTTAGAAAATGGAGGACTCGACATTTAACCAGGACAAAATACAGACTACACTCCAGGTAGTTGCTCTCTCGCTCTGTCCAGTTGACTCCTTTAACAATGAGAGATGCTTCTACAAAGCGTGTATGTTAACGTGTAAGTGTCAACGCGGGTATATATCAGCGTGTATATGTCGACGCGTGTTACGTCAACACGCCAACGTATATGTCAATGTGAACTAGCTTAATTCCATTCCATTCTTCCTGCAGGGCAGTGTCAAGTTCGTTGAGCGTGGTCGGTGGTTGTAGGCGGTGACGTACACGCTGTACATGGATATCCCTGACATGTTCGATGGGTGACAAGTCTGGATATAGTTTGGACGAGCGTTTATCATCTAATGGAAGGTGTTATCGGTGCAATAAAGCAATCTGATAAACTTGGTATCCAAATCTGATAACTATGCAAATTAAGTCAATCCACGAACTACTTTCACAAAACTCCATACATGCCGTGCGAATTCTAAAACGTTTTAACATTTCATCGATGACGTCGTCGCGAGTTTACGTTGCGTCGGCGAGTTTGGAAACAAACATGGCCCCCATTATCAAAATTGGTGATTCTGTAAGAATTGATGACTGAGGTTCTGGGGTCTGGAAACCATGAAACGGAGAACTTCGTTCAAATTGAAGATACGGATTATGAGGCACGAGTGACAGGCTATCGTCTTAGAAAGGTACCAACCAAGTATTTCGATCTATCGATCACAACAAAGAAGACGACGAATCGATTCCTTCAGGTATCAGAAACTGATATTGATGAGGTGATTACCCGCAATGAAAATAGAAACACTACCAAGCAAACCCTTTTGTTGTTCTTTTTAGACAGAAAGATCTTATTATAAGCATGAGTTATGTTTGCACTGTATTAGCGACTAGTCACAACCATATGCCGACGTCATGAACGACCTTCACTTTGGTGTACCGCTAAGTATTCTTACGCGAATGCTCGATTCTCTTCATATATATAAATTCATGTACGATTTGCTTCTTTTTTTAGAGTAATTTTCACAATGACATTATATGATAAAGAGATTATTAACCTCGTGTGTTTCCGTATCATTAATATCATATATTAGGAATTATCATATATTTGGCCAAAGGCTCGCATAATACAATTTTTATTGCTAATATATATTAATGATACGGAAACACACGAGGTGAATAATCTCTATATCCTGCCTGACCAGTGACGCCCGTCACA